CAGCAGACTGAAAGCCAAAACCAAGGTTACAACAACATCTGTTATAGAACTCCAATATGCTGATGACAACGTACTCTGTGCGCATTCAGAAGAAGACCTACAAGCCACTCTAAACACCTTTGCAGAATCATATGAGAAGCTCAGCCTGTCATTAAACATCGAGAAAACGAAAGTGCTATTGCAGAAGTCACCGGTCAATCCCTTTCCAAGGCCAGAAATATAGTTTAATGGTATAACATTAGAAAATGTTGACCATTTCCTCTCCCTTGGGAGCCATCTTTCCACAAAAGTCAACAATGACACTGAAATCAGTGAGCTCTGTGAGTGCAGCTTTGTTTCCGAATGAAACAGAGAGTATTTGAGGACTGGGACATCCGTAGGGATACCAAGGTGCTTGTTTATAAACTATTGTCCTCCCAACTCTGTTATATGGCTGCAAGACGTGGACTGTCTACAGATGTCACACGCAGCTCCTGGAAAGATTCCATTAATGTTGTCTCCGAAAAATCCTGCAAATATCTTGAGAAGACAGGCGGACTAATGTCAGCGTGATGGAAGAAGCATAGACCACCAGCATTGAAGCGATGATCCTACGTCATCAACTCTGCTGGACCGGCCACGTTGTCTGAATGTTCAAAGATCACTGTCTCCCAAAGCACTCTACTCTCAACTCAACTGACTCGTTGAGTTGCGTACGACATCTGTATACAGTCCACATTTTGCAGGCATATAGCAAGGTTGGGAGGACAATGGCATTATAAATAAGCACCTTGGTTTCCCTACGGATGTCCTCAAACACTCTCTGCTTCATTCGGAAAAATGCTGCACTTGCAGAGCCCAGGCGGTGTTGTATTTCCATATCGATGTTGACTTTTGTGGAGAGGTGGCTGCCAAGGCAGCAGAAAGGGTCAACATTTTCTAACGTTACACCATTAAGTTGTATTTCTCGCATCAGCAACACATCTACTAAAATTGGAACGATACAGAGAAGATTAGCATGGCCCCTGCGCAAGAATGACACACACATTCGTGAAGCTTTCCATATTTTTTGTTGTTAAATTGTATATTCATGTTTTGATGTGGGCGCCATGGGTGTTGATTTGTTGTCCGTCCTGAGTCCCTCTGCGGAGGTTGAGATAGGATGGGATATAAAAGCCCTAAATAAATAAATAAATAAATAAAATTTCTGGAATTGCAGAGAGATTGTCTGGTGACTGCTGGAAGAGCACTTTGGTTTTCTCGATGTTCAATGACAGGTCGAGCTTCTCGTATGCTTCTGTGAATTTCTGTTTAGATTGGCTTGTAGGTCTTCTTCTGAATGAGCACAGACTATGTTATCATCAGTATATTGGAGTTCTATAACAGATGTTGTAACCTTGGTTTTGGCTTTCAGTCTGCTGAGGTTAAATCGCTTGCCATCTGTCCGATAGATGATTTCCACTCCAGTGGGAAGCTTCCCATCAACAAGATGAAGTATCATAGCGATGAAGATGGAAAATAAAGTTGGGGCAATAACACATCCCTGTTTGACACCTGATTCCACTTTAAATGGGTCACTTTGGGAGCCATTGTGTTGTCGAAGGCTTTCATGGTCAGAATCACTGAGTTGCTGTGAGTTTTCTGGGCTGTATGGCCATGTTCCAGAAGCATTCTCTCCTGACGTTTCGCCCACATCTATGGCAGGCATACTCAGAGGTTGTGAGGTCAGTTGGAAACTAGGCAAGTGAGGTTTATATATCTGTGGAATTGACCAGGGTGGGACAAAGGACTCTTGTCTGCTGGAACTAGGTGAGAATGTTTCAACTGACCACCTTGATTAGCATATAATGGCTTGGCAGTGCCTGGAGGAATCTTTTGTTGAGAGGTGATTAGATGTGCCTGATTGTTTACTCTCTGTTGTTTTGCTGTTGTAATTTTAGAGTTTTTTTAATATTGGTAGCCAGATTTTGTTCATTTTCATGGTTTCCTCCTTTCTGTTGAAATTGTCCACATGCTTCTTGTGGACTTCAATGGCTTCTCTGTGTAGCAGATCCAGTACTACATCTGTGGAAAGACCAGGGTGGGGCAAAGGACTCTTGTCTGCTGGAGCTAGGTGTGAATGTTTCAATTGACCACCTTAATTAGCATTTGATGGCCTGGCAGTGCCTGGGGGAATCTTTTGTTGGGAGGTGATTAGATGTGCCTGATTGTTAACTCTCTGTTGTTTTGCTGTTGTAATTTTAGAGTTTTTTTAAATATTGGTAGCCAGATTTTGTTCATTTTCATGGTTTCCTCCTTTCTGTTGAAATTGTCCACATGCTTCTTGTGGACTTCAATGGCTTCTCTGTGTAGCAGATCCAGTACTACACAGTAGTGTAGACCAGGGTGGGGCAAAGGACTCTTGTCTGCTGGAGCTAGGTGTGAATGTTTCGATTGACCACCTTAATTAGCATTTGATGGCCTGGCAGTGCCTGGGGGAATCTTTTGTCGGGAGGTGATTAGATGTCCTTGTTTGTTTACTCTCTGTTGTGCTGTTGTATTTTAGAGTTTTTTTTAATACTGGTAGCCAGATTTTGTTCATTTTCATGGTTTCCTCCTTTGTTTTGAAATTGTCCACATGCTTGTGGATTTCAATGGCTTCTCTGTGTAGTAGATCCAGTTCTACACAGCTTAAAACTGCTAATAGCTTTGAACACACCTTTTGGGAGAGTATTCTTAAAGAAGAGGATGGAAATTGTTTTTGGACTTCATTTCCCAGAATTCCTCTCTATTGTCCAAACCGCCTGGGCTTTCTGGGAGTTGAAGTCCCAAAGGCCTTGTCATTCCGATAGTGTCCGGCAGAGGGGAGCAGAGAGCTCTTTGCGAAGCAGCCGACGGGAAAAGGTGAACTCTCTAAATAAAGCGTAGGCGGCATATTCTTGGCCGCGCGCCCTCGCCGTAGTTCCAACCCGGGCGTCTGCGCATGCGCGTGCTGTTCCTCAAGTCCTGTGAGGGGAGAGCAGCCACTCCAATCCCGGAAGTCGGTCCGAGAGCTGCTTCAACATGAAGTCCCGCTTCAACACTGTAGATATCCGGGCAGTAATTGCAGAGATGAGGCAAAGGTAGGCGAAAAGTGCAAAAGGAACTGTCTAGATCAGGCCTGGGCCAACTTGGGCCCTCCAGGTGTTTTGGACTACAACTCCCACAATTCCTAGCAGCCGGTAGGCTGCTAGGAATTGTGGGAGTTGTAGTCCAAACACCTGGAGGGCCCAAGTTGGCCCAGGCCTGATCTGCTTCCATAACTGTGTTTACTACAATGCTCCTGTGAAGATAATACATATATCTGTCTTCTCTTTGTTACAGCTTGTTGGGAATGAGAGTCAACAACGTCTACGATGTGGATAATAAGACCTACCTCATCCGCCTCCAGAAGTAAGAGTCAAATCATTGTTTTCGCAATTTGAAATACATGTAGTCTTGTATGTTGAGCCTCTGTGTTGTTGAAGGCTTTCGTGGCCGGAATCACTGGGTTGCTGTGGGTTTTCCAGGCTTTCTAGCCATCTTCTAGCTCCATTTATTTATTTGTTTACCATAAATAAA